AATTACAATTGTTATTATCATCATCATTTACCGATCTTTTAGTAGTAGCATTAGAAGATGTCGGTTTACTTTTTTTCTTTTTATTTTTTTTTCTATTAAAAATATTCTCCCATTTTACACAGCAACATAAAAAAGCTATTAAGATAAATCCAAGTACCACTAATACGATTGGTATTAACCACGGTTTTAAGACTTCTTTTGTAATGTCTATCGGATCTGTTAATTGTAATGTTGATTGCGGAGTTGTTGATGTTAATGAAGAGGTTGTCGATGGTGTTTGTGATATTATTGTTGAAGAAGATAATGTTGATAATGTACTAGTATCAATGCTAAATTATATATACATGTGTGTATGTAAACAAATATATATTAACATTTTAATTATCTAATGGTGATAACGATTATTATGATACTTACAATCTTTTAATTTTATATGGAGACATCTTTAGTGTCTTGGTTGTAAGTATTGGAATAATGAATGAATTAGATTAGTGAAGGGTGAAATTAGAATTAGCGAATGAATGAACTAATTAATAGTAATGGCAATAGTATTTTTAATTGTTGCAATAATAGTAACAAAATTGAGATATAAATCATTTTTATTGAAGATCTCTATCTATTCATCTACAAATTTATATAAATTAATGAATTAATAATGCGTAACATCTAAATTGTTAAACGACCCTAAAGTATAAAGTATAGTTCAACAATACTACACATAATTGTCATCATAGCGCGCTTGGATAATCTTTTTTTATTATAAAATATTTTATAAAATATTTTTTTCTAAAGATAGATTGACTACTTCTATAATATCATCCTGATTAGAGTCTGTGAATAAAGTTCCAGGATAAACCTTACTTCCCCAATTTGGATGTAATAAAATACTACAACAACCCGCATTCAAGACATCATATTTTAATAACTCATATGATCCTTGTACATCAGGATATGTAGAAACACCAGCTTCAGAAAGTATCTTTATATAAAAATAAATTGTTATTCTTTTGATATTGATAAATATATGAATTCCTTTTTTTTCATTTTGCTTCTACTTACGGGATAGCCCGACGCAGGATCTGTTATATCTGCCCAATAACCTCTTTCTCTTAATCTTTTGCAAACAAATTTTCCCCATTCGACAAACTTATTAATTAACAATAAATAGAAATAATTAATTAATCATTAGATGCAAGGAAAATTAAATTAATAGAAAAATTTTAATTTTTAAAAAAATATACATGTTCCAATCTCTCATCTTTTTCCATGTCAATTTGACTTCCAACGCCAACTAAATCATTGTGACATTTTAAAAATATAGGTAAAATTAAGCAATTTTCTATTTCCTTAATATTTTTGGGGAAAATATTTTTCAATTCTCTTGTGAACCTTGTAGATCCTTTGTGAATCGAGTATTCCAAGATAAAGGGTGTTTGTGTTTTTGGATTTTTGACTGTTATTAAAGTTGGAGGATGTAATATCATCGACCGCTTTGTCGTTTTATAAGACGAGGATAATGGCGTGGAATTAATTTTAGATGATGAATTTTGTGTTTGGGGTTTTAATGATTCCATAGTTTAATTTGATGATTATTTGAAAAATTTGCTTCTTTTATACAAATATTTTGGTGTCACAGTAAATAACATAATTTTCGTTCAAATTTTTGCAATTATTATTATTTGTAAAAAAAAATCCAATAATGGTGATAACCCGGTTTATTAACATAAAAAAGGTTTA